ATTTATATCATTCTGCACTGGTTTAATGTGTATTCTTTACATTCTGCACTGATTTAATGTGTATTTATATCTTTCTGCACTGGTTTAATGTGTATTCTTTACATTCTGCACTGGTTTAATGTTTATTTATATCATTCTGCACTGGTTTAATGTGTATTTATTAGTGCTGGGCAACGATTCAAATATTTAATCGCATGGATTTTTTGCGATTAATCGCATTGTTATGGCAAAGTTCAATAATGAATTCAAAAGTAGTGTATTGCGCACTTTTATTTTAAAAGTACTGCTATATGAACAAAAGTGCAACAACATTTGGTTTGCAAACACTTTAAACACATCAGGTGCTTTTTAACAGCAGTATTCCCTTTACACAGTAGCAGTTCTATCTCTTCACTATCTGTGCTCGGTGTGCTGACTGTGTGTGAAACGTTCCACTGCTGTGCAACAGGAATAACATGTTTCAGCACGTTTCAGCAAAAATGTCTGTCTTCATGACAGTCAGAGCATGTGAATGCAGCTCTACTGTTCATCAATATAATGCTGTAACTCAGAGGTGATGGTTACCCAGCGATCAAACAATAAAGACACTTTACGCACAATTTAGGTGTATTTTCCCTTTAACTCACGAGATGCAGCATGTTTTATACTTAATGTGAATATCATTCATACTTTGTTGGCATCTTATTCTGAAAACCGGATGTCCGTCTGAAGAAACCGGATGTTGTCTCACGTTAATCTTTCCGCTAACTTTCAAAGTCCTTTGCTCGCTCCCGATCTGTGCCGTTTAAATGCGTTTACGGTGAATTTCAGCATATAGGTGCACTAACATGTAAGTGTCTGCTGAGTTGACCACGGAGATCTGAGTGTCTGCTGACTTTACCGCAGCGATGTCCAGTAGTCTCCATTCCTCCACCGCTGCCAGTGAGCAATGGACTTTCAAAATAAAAAAAAATTTTAAAATGCATTAACGCGCTATAAAATAATTGTCGGCGTTAATTAATTAATGCGTTAACGCGTTAACTTGCCCAGCACTAGTATTTATATAATTCTGCACTGATTTAATGTGTATTTATATCATTCCGCACTGGTTTATTGTGTGTTCTTGTGTGCTCTGGTCTCACTGCTGCTTCTTATGATTCTATGTGCTCTGACTACAGAGCAGAATCTTTGTTATCATCTTCAGTGAGGGATTTCTATGTGCTCCAGTTTAAACAGTGACTCATCACTTCTGGATTCAGAGGGTTTTCTTGAAGTTCTTGATGCTGCTTCAGGTTTTATAACTTGGCCAGTTAAGAGTGGTTCCCTGATCTAAATAGTGTTCAAGAGAATTTCAACAAAATGAAAACATGTCGAGACACTTTTTTTTACCTCCGCCATGGAGGTTATGTTTACGCTTACTTTTTTAGTCTTTTAGTCCATTTGTCAGCAGGATTACGGGAAAACTACTCACCCGATGTGGCCCATGGGCCACAGAAGAACCCATTCAATTTTGAACCGGATGCAAATCGCATGGCGGATACAGACATTGTTTTTGACTCATGGAAACTAGAAGAAATCTTTGTCGACTGATCGCTAAGTAAAACTGAGTTTCTCCTCACAGAATCACACAAAAAGCATCACTTTAAATCTTTACCCGAGTTGTGCTCGTTTTCTGGGAAATAAGTCATGCAGCATTAAAATAAGAAACTAAGACCAACTGCCTAAGGCCCTGATGGAAACAGGCTTGGCGTAGATCTGTGCTCTCCGAGCGCCCTTCTAGGTAGAAGTTTCATGTCTTACAGCCTCGTCCTATCAGGAAGCCGCCCAGCACGACTGATCCACGCGTCTATGCCAAATATGCGATTTTAGAAACTTAGTGACGTTGTGATAACTCGCACGGCTAGTAGGCGAACTACTGTACAGTACCTGGCGAGCTAACCGCTAACACGCCAGCTAGTCAGCCACAACAGCACTCCAAGCTTCTTTTTATTCTCCTTTAAATGAGCCATCTTCTCCCTCCGTGGTATTTGGTTCTCAGGATTGTACATCCTTTAAATAAAGCACACTGAACTTGCCATCTGATTGGTGACTTTGGACTCTCTAGCCCCTCAAACGTCAGCGCTATCAGGAACGCTTGCTTGATCTGACAAAATGTAGTGTCAATGACGGACACGTCACACTGCCGGAGGACAGGATGAGTGCAGCGGTGATAGCTTTACACGAGTGGTTAAATTACAGAATCATAAACGGCTGAGCAGCATTTTGACATCCGATAATAAACCCTGTGGAGGTTTTTAACTCGCTGCCATGTTCTGTCGGATCGTGCGGCGTAAATTTCCAGCGAGGCGCAAATAAGCAAACATTTTTAATGATCAATAACGTCTATCAGAATCTAACAGGACATAAAGCATTCTGGATTGTCCGAACATCATTCCTCAGTTCTCATCAAATGTTTGAGGAGAAAGTGAGACCGGTGCTGAGGATTTAATCTGCAGCTCGGCTCGTAGCAGAGAGAGATTCTCCAGTTACTCAGTAGATCATTTAGGAAGCTGTCTGGGATCATTTCCTGCATGTTCTGTAGTTTAAAAATCACTTCTCTTCCATTATCAAGCGGCCCTTAAGAGGTCACACTCTGCTCGACAGTCCTGGAGGGGAGGCAGCTTTATGTGACTGCCCAGTGGGACCATTAGGATTGTTTAAACGGAGCGAGGACGCACGTTTGGGGACAAAATCAATGTCCTTATTGTCATTATGCAGTAGAAATCCTGCTATAGCGTTTTAAAAAAAAGAAACACTCATGAGCGGTTACTCAACTTTAGGTCAGAGGTCATTTGGGGTTCTTCCTGCAAAGTCAGCAGAAACCTGACATGAAAGATACGGCTTGGCCGGCATGTGCCGTCTTATGCAACAGCCACATCATATGGTATGTCTCGGGCACGGGCCAGGTCCCATTCAGAGCCGTCACTCAGAGCAGCGAGGTCCTTCAGCCTCCAGGTTCAGCTCTTTTCGGTTTATATTAGAAAAGCACGGCTGAGGCAGAGAGGGGCATCCTTTAACTTCTGATCGACGCTCTATGGGAAATCAAAAGAGCGAGTGGAAGCCCAATCCAGGGGAGGCCGGACTTGGATCTCTTTCCTCTGTGACGGTATAATGATGTGACGGTAGTGTTAAAGGATTTAAAGCTCTCAGAACCAGAAAGAGAAACACTCGCACACCGTGGGCTCTTTCAATATCACAAAATTTGAATTAATTAGCAGGTAAAATGTGAGTGAAGCGCTGTGAAGCAGCCCACCCGGTTAGTCAGGTTGTGGAGGTTCAGTTACCAGATCGACGTAGCCTGAGGTAGCTTTAACGTCAATACACAGAACGTCTGCCGAGCTTCAACTAAACGCCGACATGGTTGTTTCCCTCACACCGAGAAAAAGCATTTTTACAGAGCACGCAGGCATCGATGTGATGAGCTGCAGATCAACAGATATATTAGACGTCTACGCTACATGTTCGCCTACGTTTGGTTGAAAAGTCAAAGATTTTAGACTCGACCTCGCATCGAAATGAACTCTGCAACTTAAATCTGTTCTGTTCTACAAACCTGGTTTTCTTAAAATCTAGTGGGGAGAAAAAGAGAAAGAGCTGCAAGAATATTTCAACATGAATTTTCAAGAAGTTCTATGAAACAAAAAAAGTCGGTCGCTGCACCAGAATGAGAACAAATCTCCAAGAAAATTAAACTTTAATGATTCCTAACAAAGCTCCAAACGTGTTTGTGAATAAAAGGAAAAGACTCGGCTTTGAATTATTATTTATGTCTGTTTTTAAGTCCATAAAGCAGTGAAATCACCTCGTTAAAAACTTCTAAAATCTCCTCCTCCCAAGTCCAACATCTTACTGACCATGCAATGTTCATTTTAAAAGTTTAACAGCTGGAAACATGTTTTCATACTCAAACATCACACGTGTGATAACTAGATGGGACGTCACAAACAATCAGTGCTCTCACATGTTGCACAGAGAAAGTTTGAAACATCCGTGAGGTGTCAAAGTGAAACAGGACTCCAGGCGTTAGTGACTAGCTGAGAGAGATATCGGTACAGATGTGGCCGAGATTAAGCTTTCTATACACAGACAACCACATCCAGCCCAGTTCAGCCTCCTACACCTCTTATTGTGACCTGCTGATCACCCGGCACAGCTTCCTGTGTCTGCACAGGAGTCAAAGGAGTCAAAGGAAACCCCAGAAGGTGAAGCCTGGTCCTGTCCTGAACATGTTAAAGATGCACACAACTAATCAAAAAGGCACAGACTTGTTGGCTGTCCCCCCCCCCCACACACACACACACACACACACACACACAATGTCCCACAGGGCTCCTCGCTGCAGCAGCAGTGTGGAGGGGCGACAACCACCCCAGAAGAAGAAGAAGAAGAAGAAGAAGAAGAAAATACACCAACTTTCTGTCTTGATTTAATCTAAACCTCATGTAGATCCTCCACACACACACACACACACACTGAACTTTGGACGGCAGGAGGAGGAGGTTAGCCTAATGGTGGACCAGGGTTTTAGTTTTTCTCGAGCACTTCGGCTCAATGATAAAGAAGAATTGGGTTTTTGAGCTGAGAGGAACAACAGCATTTAAAAACATGACGAGACAGGCAGCGAGACAAGCAGCCGGAGCCTCCTGTCCTCTCCGGGGCCGGCTAACCGTGTGTGCATCCCGGTGGTTAGCATTTAAATTAAACCGTTAAATATGCACGTTTACCCCCTTAAAAAAACTCCTGTTATGCATGCAACTGCAGGGCCTGGCGCCGCCATACACCACCACACACACACACACACACACACACACAAAACAGCACGTATAGCATGCCCCGTAGCACCAAGCGGAAAGAGACATGCGAAAAATGAGGAGGAGGTGGAGGGGGGGGTGGACGAACCGGGACCGTAAACCGGCGATAGACCCCACCGGAGACGAAACGCGAGGAGCAACATGAGGAGGTCCAGAGTTAGACGAACTAACCTGGTTGGGAGCAGCACGGTCCGCTGGATATTGGGGTTGAATCCGAGTTAAATCCACTAGCAGTACAACAAAGAGGCGAAAATGACCGAGCGGCCGCGGAACAGGCCGAAACAGCACAATCCTGGAGCAATGATGCGCATGCGCACGGCACAGACAGCGTGTGAGGAGGGGGGCTGGGGGTGGATGAGTGCAACTCATTTTTAAAATTGATCCGCTGAGTGTGTCATTCATTATTAATCTTAAGGAAATAAGCTCCGAGTCGATGGTTGTTTTCATTGAGAGAGAGAGAGAGACACACAAATAGAGCTTTAATGTCTGCTCAAATAAATCTATTTAAAATATGACAGCAAAAGAAAAGTTTTATGGAATTTCACAAAGACATTAATAAACTCACAGCCAATGAGATGCTGGTAATGAACACATGAAAAAGCTTTTTAAATGTAATCTGAGATATTTCATTCTGAACCAAGATAAGAGTTTTAGTTTCCAATGTCAAAAATTAAGCTTGAATCTCAACTTTAAAGAGCTCAAAACAAAAAAATGATGAACTACAACTCCATGTCAACGAAGCAAACTCCATCCATCTGACGAGGAAGATCATATGTTACGATCAAAAGCTCCAGAACATAAATGTCTGAAGGACCTTGTAGTGAGACTGTCAACTCAATAAGATAAAAAATTAAGAACTTTATTCACCCATATTTATTCATCTGCTAAATGTGTATACATAGTAAAGTAACCCAAACAGATACAATGAAAATATATAAAAGTTTATAAGTAAAAGTAGTGTTCAGGTCCATCCATCTTCATCCAGTTATCCAGGTCTGGTCCGCTGACTTAGAAAGGTATTCCACACGTCTTCAAACGTTTTCCAGCTCCTCCTGGAGAACCCAGCAAACACATTAAAGTGCAAAAGGTACCAGTTATATAAATGATATGCAATTAAAAGAAGAAGAAAAAAACATACATGCAGGTGCATCCATGTTACAGACCTGCTCTATATTAAATGTGGCTTTTCATAAAGGCTTCCAGGTCCAGGTGAAGGGAGTAGAGCCGGGTCAGGTTCTGGATGAGTTCAAACCTCTAATGGGCCGTTATATGAACTGAGAGGTCGATGAGGGAATGAGATGCAGGTGAGGCAACTGCAGAGCAGACGAGGGAAGTGGGGACAGGTGTGTGGGCGGAAAATGGGGAGACAGACTGTGACAACATCAACTTAAAAAAGAATGTATTGAATTGAATTGTCAGATATTGCTGTCATGTTGTCCCTCAACTGTCGATAGTATTCTTTAAACTCTTTGTAAAGTGCAACAGATGCATCTTCCCAGTAATGTCACCGTGATTGTAGTCTGTGTTTCGCTGATATATTTCAACCTTTTTTAATTTGCTGTTGTCACATTTATGAAATTGTGGGAAATAAAGACTATAGAACATACAACTTTATTCATCCTGAGGGAAGTTGTTGTGCAGCGGTAGGAAAAAGTGCAATTATAAATGATCAAGAAAGGTGCAAGTATATCCAAAATACACAGTTTGTAGATATGAGAAATGGATTTTTTACCTTGACATAAGTTGCCATCATGTAACTCAAAATCAAAATAACACTTTTTCTGTGAAAATCATTGAAATAGTTGATTTGAAATCATAAAATATAACATTACAAACTTACCTTTCATTCTTTCAGAAGCTTTCTAAACTCAGCAGTGGAGGAAGCTATAAACACAAATGAACAAATCATTTTTTATGGCAAGAAATGCAATAATTGCTTGGTTTTGATCCTGAAAACTCTCAGTACACCTGCTCCAGATTCTTCAGTAAATCAGAGATCATTTAGTGCTCTACAAGAAATAGGATCCTTTGACCCACAGGAAGCCAACGCAGTGATTCAAGGACGGGTTCAGTGTGCTCCACTTTCTTGGTGTTCGTGAGGACAGAATTGTCATTAACATCGGATGTTAAAGCACAAGCCTTGAGGGGATTACGTTTGGGTATGAGGTTGAAGATGGCTATGGTGAGGTTAAGATCACCTGGTTTGGTGCCGGGTAAAGATTCGGTGTGGTTAGAGTTATGTAACAGTGTGGGTGGGATACATGCGGTCAAGCTATTGTGATGAAATATGGCTCCTAACTGGAAATAATGATGTCGGAAAAAAAAAGTAGCCACAGCTATCCAGAATCTCTGTTTTTAGCACGGCCACAGGCCAACATCTGCTGACACTCAGAGGCTTTTAAATCTCTGACAGAGGACTCAGCCTCACGCTGCATGTTTTTGTTATTCTTCATCTGTGTCTGTAGCTCTTCACCACAACACAGAATCTCTTCTTATTCTTGGTGCAGGATGTAGAGTAACTCAATTGAAACCTTCCGGGGGCTGTGGTTACTTTAACTCAATCAAGTCTGAGTCATTTCCAAGAGCCGCTGAGCTTCGTATGAAGAGGCTGCAGTACGACCTACCTTTAGTTAAGACTACAGCGACTTAAAACTAGGACTGTAAAATTCTATTGTATCCGCTTAGTATTTGTGTTTTCTCTTTTCTGTGCTGATGTTGATGTAAAGCACTTTGTAACACGTGTTTAGAAAGGTGCTATAGATATAATGTTCTCCTTACTTGTGCTAAAATCGTTATTTTTTCCCCTCATGAATCTAGTTTCTCTTGATCATCTTTGAGCTGTTTCTACTCCCTGATTGGAGTCCACCAATGCAATTGATTGGACATGATTTGGAGAGGCACACACACACCTGTCTATAAAAGGCCTCACAGCTGACATCGCATTGTGAGAACTCAGAGACAGGATGGTGTCGAGGTGCAGCTCTGGAGAGGGCTGCAAAATAAATTGGAAGTTCCCATGACATGGTGGCCTCCATGCTGCTTAAAGGGAAGAAGTTTGGAACAACCAGCTCTTCATGGAGCTTAAACACACATGAAGTCCTGTTTGCAGTTTGCATGAAAGCATCTAAAAGACTCTCTGACTGTGAGAAACAAGAGCCTCTGGTGTGATGAAAGCAAGATAGAAAGTGTTTGGCGTCATGTGGGAGTGCTGTTCATCTGAGGGACTAGTCACGGTTGAGGGCGAAGGTGAATGAAGCAAATTACAAGTCATTAATAAAGAAAGAATACAAAAATGAAATCCCCAAATCCAAGTGTCCAAACTGCAAAGCTTGAAGCGTCACAGCTAAGAAGGCTGGAGGCTGTAATCGCTGCCAAAGGTGCTTCAACTAAGAACCTGAATAACGCTAATGTGATATTTCACTTTTCTCTTTTTAATACATTTGCAAACAATTCAAATCCTTTTTCCTGCTTTGTCATTTTGAGGTTTTGATCAATGAGAGGGAATATTAAACTATTTAAGCATAAGGCTACAGGATTATAACAAAATGTGAAAACTTTCTGAATCCACTATATTAACCTTCTTGAACGACGACAACCTGGGGATTCGCTGTGAATTGAGTTTGAAGTACATGATAAACAGTTTTAACTGTAATTGATTTTACAAAAATATAAGAAATCAAGCATTTCCATAAAAAAATGATTGTTTTTTCTAACCACAATTCTTGGACTTCTTGCCCAGCTTATATGAATAAATGATGCGCCATTTTTTATTTGTCATTTTCAGTGCTCCCACAAACACAAGAGCATTTTTTATTGTTTTAATGCTGAATCTATAAGGTCATGAATTGGATTATTTCACATTTTCAAAGTATTATTCCAACAATAATATGTATTATTATTATTATTATCATTGAAGTTATCGTGACAGTCTTTTTTTTCATCAATATGTTATCATGTCTATGGTTTTTAATAAACAAAAGACAAAATAAAAGACATTAGACCAGTTTAATAGGAAAACCTTAACTGGACTCATGATTCAATTGTCCCGGTTTCACTTAGTTTCACTTTATTTTAAAGTGAACTTGTAAAACTTAACACTATAGAGACTCACAAAGGGTTAAAGAGAGGGTCATGTTACGCTCAGTGCACTCAGAGAAGTTGAAGAGGTGAAGATCTCTCACTCCTTTCCTTTTACCAGTGACAAGAAAAAACAATCCCCAGTGAGAGGACAAAACTTCACTCATTTTTTTAATAATGCAAAACAAGAGTGAATATTTGTAACTGGCAGTGATTCATGAACCCTGAGTCATCACACATGTTTGATCTAAAAACACAAATGGCAAAAACGATGCTAACGATTTTAACTCTCCTTGTGCAAAAGTGCATCAATATTTTTCTAGCAAGCCAATCAGAGCGGATCGGACTTTTTCGGGGGGGGGGGATTTAAAGAGACAGGTGCTAAAACAGAGCGTTTCAGACAGACGGATGATACGGGTAAATTCAGACGGATAATATGAGAAAGATAATGTTGCTTTTTGAACATTAACGCATGTAATCATGTTCTAGCAGAAATCCAAATTACAAACATGAACTTGAAAAGAACCATATGTCCCCTTTAAATAGCTGAATACCTTTTTTAAAATAACTTCTTCCACCAAGGACCACAAAGTCTGACTTTATAGTGTCATCCTTGACTTTTTGTAGTTGTGATATGATGTCCCTAAAATCCACATTCATGGGCTTCAACTGTTATAGCTCTAGACGTTAATCGTTGTTTTAACGACGGAGGTGTTGATCTTGTTTATAGAAGATCTTTGATCTTTGGTACAGTACAACACTCTCGACTGTCTTCCTGAATCATAAAGCGACTTCTTCTGGGCCGTTAAACTGCTTTCCCGGCGTCCATTTATCAGATAAAATTACATTATAACCCATCACAACACAACATAACACAACACAATGGACGTACAGCTCGCATTTTAAAGGATTTACTTTACAACATTGTAACTACTAATGGAGGAGGATGTTGCCGAGATTCAGACCGTTTGTTCCTCGGTCTCCTCTGATGTTCCGAGGACACCAAACACAGAGCTGAAGAAGCTTCTGTTCTTCAAAGTGTACAAGAGGAGGTGGTTCGTTCTGCTCGTCCTGTGTCTGTTGAACTGCTCCAACGCCACGGTGAGTTGTTGTTGTTGTGGGTACAACGTTTGTTTACGGTAAATAACTTCATGTAATTACGGTAAATTAACTGAGCTAAATTGCAGCTTGTGTTTATGGTCGAAAACACCATGACTCAGAAGATCCTTGACTTCATTTCATACAATCTTTTTGAAATCTATACAGTTAATAGTATGGAAGACAGTTTCTGCAAAGACAGAGGTGAAGGAAATACTATAAAATAGTAATACCACAGTGTACAAATACTGTTGCATTTGAAACTTAAAGTAAAATGTATTTTTTGTCAAAAACAACTTCAATAACAAAACAAAAATAAATTGTTGATGAATGAATTATTTGTATTAAAATATATTTCAAGTGCCAAACTTACTTATCATGCAGAATGGCTCATTTCAGATTTATTAATAATATATTATTATTATGACTAGATTATAATTAGTTATGTATTCATGCATTACTAATGTTGCAGCTGAAGGGATTGCTTCATCCATAATAAAGCATCATGATTTATTTATATTTTGTATTCATAAACTGAATCTGTAAAGTAACATATTTAAAATACAGGTAGTGCTGTAAAAAGTACAATAATGGCTTAAAGAATGTTGTGGAGTAAAGTAGCTCAGATTTGTACTGAAGTGCAGTATTTGAGTACATTTCTCATTAATATTTATATAAATGAGTCACACTTGACTGGTTCATGCAGAATTAAAAAAAACTACAAATTCAAACCCTTGTGACCTTTTTAAAGTTAAGAATTATAAATCTTCCACTTTAAGAACTCTTCACACACAAGGAACCAGTAGCTGCACCTTAAATGACTCAGTTTCATTGACAGCTTCCTTCTCTCAGAGATGAAGATGCTTCTCTACAGATGGATGGAATCTGTGTCCTCAGCCTCTACTCACAAGAACAAATGAGGAAATCTGTGGCAGATGTGTTTGAATGTGATCGGTGCGGGTAGATGACATGTGGGGCCTCCTCCTGTTTGGTGGATCTGATATGAATCCCCGGGGGTGTAGTCATTGAATAGCAGAGTGTGCCTGGAGGGCTCTCTCATTAAAAGCGAGCCCTCCGTCACCTTTCTCCAGCTCCCGTGGGACTCGTCCTCTCTCTGTGGCAGCTTTTGTTTCCACGGGGCCGGTGTTCCCCCTCACAAAGGAGGCTCAGCTGGCGGAGACTCCTTCATGTGGTGGCAAATAACAGCTGATCAGCCAGTCGGACATCAATCGGTGCGACATTAGCGGACTGAGGGTTCAGGGTGGGCCCTCCTCAATCTGATGTAGGAAGCATTTAGAGAACCATGTCTGTTGTGTTCACCCACAAACAGCGTCTTGGTCGTGTGGGAAGAATTGTGAAACTGCAAGAACATGAAACACCAAACGTTTATATTTAAAACAAATAAAGGTAAAACTCTCGAGGTTTAGAAATGCTGATTAAGCCACAGTTTTAATTACTCTGTCAAATACTAAAAGCGGTACTGAATGTCACATTATTAGTCTTGATTGATTATTTTTTGATTGGACATTTTCTGATTTTAATAATATTTTTGCAAGTTTTACACTGTATTTTATTCAAGCTATTGTGGCTGCTTTGTGTGAGACAATTGTTTGTAGTTTTACGTTACTCATTGTGAAGAACTGAAACCTGAGTGTTGTTTCGTACCGATGATACTTGGTACCAATGACCTTCTTTTGTTGTCTGTGAATAAGTGACCTCCTGACTCCAAAATATCTTTTTGTAACCATTTTATTTGAACATAAAAGTCTTTTATCATGTACTTATCATGTTTAGTAGTGGCACACACTATGTGTCTATATCAACTTATTTGCATCAAATGGCTATACCGATCATAATAATAACCAATTTATCAGTGTAGCTCTAATATAGAATTATATATGTACTTTCAAGTACATTTTAAGTACTTTTCTCAATCGACATTTGTGTGTTTTGTTCGTTTGAGTTGTAGTAACTCGTGGGTTTTCTTCCTTCCGTTGTAGTTTCACTACGATATGAAACTGTTGGAAACTAGAAACGTGACGGTTAATGAAACAATATTGTGAAGCTGCAAGCCGGGATGCATTCTGGAGAAAGAGGAACGTGTGACAGCGTCTCCTCTGGGGGACACAGGACGGGCTTTGTGTGTTCACTGCAGCTGACCAGCTCACGCTTTCCTTCACTGTCAGCAGACGGAGAGTCGTACTGGAGCTGCCTCTCAGCGTTTAGTCTCCAGTCGGATTCATTCTGTCGCTCTGTGCAACATTATATCTATCGACACTATAACCTACAGGCTGCATGTCTCTAAGCACCGGTCACATTCCAGTGTTCTTCATCCTGCTGTGAGTCTCAGTTTTAGGTCGACTTTGGATTCAATTATTTTGGATAAAAGGAGGAACTATCACTATCACTGCTCAATCTTTTTGACATTCTTGCGCACACATGTTAAAAAGCTAAATCTAGACGCCCAGTAAAGCAGACACTACCAGAGAAGTTTCTGTCCTGCACACGTCTGTCCTCACCCAGTAAACACACTTGTTGTTTACATGACATTTAGGAGATACGGTTACCAGACACTAGTGAACTTGTTACTTAAGGCCAGGGAAGTATCTACTACCCTAAATGTTTTCGAGCAGCATGAAAACGTCCTGTTCCTTAGAGGCAGAGCGCTGTGTTCAGTGGAGTCACATGAGAGTCTCACATGAGCTGAGAGAGTCAGAGCGTTTCCTCTTTGTGTCCGGGTCACATGACAACACACGCCTGGTCACTGAAATACAACAGAGTGACCACTAACAACATAAAACTGGGGTAAATATGTTTTGATGATTGTAACTTCTTATACATCATCACATATTAACAATCTTAAAATGATTGTTGTTTTGTTGCCTTTATCTATAAATATATAAATATTAAGCACCAATCTGAAAATATCATTTGAATCTTTCCCGTGTGTCTCCCCAGTTATGGCTGACCTTTGCTCCAGTAGCGGACCAGTCGGCCAAGTTCCTGGAGGCCTCTCTGGAGCAAGTGAACTGGTTGTCTCTGGTCTACATGGTGGTGGCCATACCGCTCAGCTTTGGGACCACGTGGATGCTGGACACCCTCGGGCTGCGGACCACGGTATGAACCTCACTCTGGTGTTATCTGTGTTGTGGGCTACAGCCTGTCATGGACCTGCACACTACAGGAGAGTTATTGGTACTCTGCTGGTCCTTTTGTTTAGTTAGATGTTCCAGTAGGAGCCACCGTGGTGACAACACAAAGCTGGAACCAAGAGGCACATGATTTTAGAAGTGAGGAGGAAAGAAACCCTCCAGCACAGAACTCATTTAAAAAGAGAATACATCCCTTTAAAGCTGCTTTGCCTGTTACTCCCGTTATTTATTGGTGAAGAACACCAGGAGCAAATGCCAAGATTTGAGTTTTCAATAAAACAAAATGATGACTCGTGTGTTAACTGCATGCCAAATGAATCCAAGCACATCAGGCCAAATAGCCTCCTAGTTTACCATATGACCCGTTTTTTGCTCCCTAAACACACCGAGGCTTCGTCTCATCACTTCCAGCAAACTTCACAGAGAACAGTGAGGATCTTTTTTAACACAACACCAACACAATAAAAACATTTTATTATTTTTAAATTGAATAACTGTAGAAAACATGAGGGCCCACCATGACCAGGCTGAAGACAAGAGCCCCATCTACAGAAAGTATAACCTCGTTAGAAGGTTGTATTGTTTCCTGAATCTTTGACTTTGTTCCGTCTGGACCCTGCAGCTGATTCTGGGAGCCTGGCTGAACATGTTCGGGGCCCTGATGCGCTTCGTCGGGGCCTCCGTATACACGGGCCATGATTTTACAGTCAGGTACCTGCTGGTGATGTTGGGTCAGACGTTCGGGGCCCTGGCTCAGCCCCTCATCATCTTCACCCCCACCAAGATGGCCGCTCTCTGGTTCCCTGACCACCAGCGCGCCACCGCCAACATGATCGCCTCCATGTGTGAGTGATTTATCGCTGCTGAAGGGAAACGGCTTCACAGCGGTTATCAATGCAAGCAACACATTAGACAAACTGACTTTACATATCGAGAGCTTTATTTCTTTAGCTGAAGATGGTGAAATATAAACTCTCTTCGTTTACTTTTTTGTAGCATGTCTATGATCAGATGTTCCTTTTATGAAACAATACGTTTGGCTGGTGGAATTATGACAGCGGCTTGTAAAATGTGGGTAAAATTGGTCTAAATCTCAGTAGAAGTACAGCCAAGGACACAAAGACATCAGGCTAAAATATTACTATTCATGCAGGGCTCCCGACTGCAACCATTTATTCAGTTTTCAGAGACGGTGCTTCTAAAATATATATATTTATTTCAAATCATCATCGTATATCATGTGAGCCCCTAAAATGTTCAGTCGGGAGCAGAAAGTTCGTGTGGAGCCCCGTTTTATTATTCAGCTCCGATACAGAAAAGAAGAACACCTCTCTATACAATATTACAACTTAAATCACTTTTACGTTTTAGCACGGTTGTTGTGCTCTGATCAACGAATAATTAGCAGGAACTGATTCAGTTTCAGCCCGAGCTGTAAAGAGTGGGAAGCACTTCTATCTGTGCACGTCAGCTAACTCTCATGTTAAACAATTAGATTTACTTTTAAGATAAGAGTAATATGAGAACGATCATACAGTTTTCATATACCAATACTTAGATCAGACCTGAGAGCAGCATTATTAACAGACAGAAACCAGAATGACTCGGTTCTTCTCCTCTTCTCCCTCCTCAGCCAATCCTCTGGGCATCCTGCTCGCTAGCATCCTCTCTCCTGTCATCGCTGACACACCTGCACGGATCCCAGACCTGGTGAGCTGAACCAGCAGAGAGTCAGGTTTTATTGCACTGATGCTGATCATATATATATATATATATGTATGTGTGTATATATATATATATATATGTGTATACATATATATATATATGTATATATATATATATATATATATATATGTATGTTAACTTATTGTTTTGGTTTCATCTGACATTGTTCTGTATGGTTCAGTCTCCTCGCAGGACTTTGCAGCTGTTTTCAGCAAACAAGTGTTATTTCTCAGGAGTTGCTGGACTTCATCAGTTGATCACCGCTCCACATGAATGCTAATGTTGCTCCATGTTTAATGAATGTGCAAATAGGCAACTGATTGAATCTTACGCCTTTGAGGCAAAACTGTCCAAAAAAAGAAGACATCAGTAGACCTAGAATCAGAGGATTCCCAGAGTGCACTGTGAGATTGCAGCTGCTAATGCAGCAAACTGCAGCAGCTGAACTGTGTGGCTCTGTGGCAGCTCACCTGCTAATGATGATAAATGGTCTTTGATTCCAGGTGCTAACCTCCATTTATCATCACATTCTGTGTGTGTGTGTGTGTGTGTGTGTTTCATCTCTCCTCTAGCTGCTCGTCTACGCGGTCCCCACATGCATCATCTGTTTCCTAGCAACGCTGGGGATACGGAGCAGCACCCCCCCCACGCCGCCGTCAGCCAGCGCCGAGTCCTCCGGCTCCGAGCCGTTCCTGCAGGGGATCAAACTGGTGAGGAGTCAAAGCACATCCATCTCTTTACGGACCCACTTACCTGTTCAGTCATAACCTCAACCAGACGCAACATTTACTGGTTCAGGAAAAGCCGACTGAGTCTACAACAACGGGTTATGAAACAGTCCCAGTTCAGTCCTGATCCTCTTTATGATCTGCATGAGGAAACCAGACCATCAGAGAGAAGATGGTCTGTTTCTATAGAGTTATTCTTAATGCGGGTTGGATTCTGGTGAACTCGGATGACATCATGCAGGTTCACCAGAAACTCCTTCAGCTCAGACTCCAGCAGATCCTCCAGCAGAGACCGGCCCACCGTGGACAGACCCAGATCTAAAACTAAACTCTAATAGTTACGGTTTTCTTTGACTGAGATGAGACTAAAGTGCAGCCTCACAGGTTTGATTCTGGCCTTGGGACCTTTGTTACATGTCATACTCCTTCCTCCCTCCCGCCTCTATACTCTCATCAGTCTAATAGAGGTGAGAACTGCTGAACAACACTTGTATCTGTCTCCTCAGTTGCTGACGAACAAAGCCTACCTCGTGCTGCTGCTGTGCTTCGGTTCGGGCATCGCTGTTTTCACCTCCTTCTCCACGCTGCTGGAGCAGATCCTGTGTGTGCAGGGATACACCAACGTAAGAGCACCGGGAGGACGAGATGTCACAGTGATTTCCATGGGGAACAATTAGGTGCTAATTGGACCAGTTGGTATCAAATGAGCAGTAAAAGACAAGGCTGCATATTTAACAATACACGTTAGAGGATTTACAGTCTAAAAGCATCACACAGTGATGAATTCTGTGTCATTCAATTGCATTTAAATGGGAAAATTGAGAAGAAAGACTAAATACATTAGTCTGGTCTTTTACATGCTGGATGCAGACTTTAATCATAAACCTGTAACGTGTCGTTGCTGCAGACCTTCGCTGGCGTTTGTGGCGCCCTCTTCATCGTGTTTGGCATCGTGGGCGCCGCTGTTCTCGGCATCTACGTCGACAAGACCAAGAAGTTCATCGAAGCCACGAAGGTCAACATGAGCTTCACCGCTCTTTCGTGCATCGCCTTCTCAGTGGTGAGAACGTGGGACAGGAAGAGTCTAAAGCTGCAGCCCTGTTTGTGTGTCCAGTTGTATTTAAAGGAGCCGCTCCTCCTTCCACTACGCTGACTGGTTGTGTCCTCCTCCTCTCAGGTGTCTCTGATGCAGGAGCAGAAAGTCGCCGTGGCCGTCGTCTGCTCTCTTTTTGGCTTTTTCGGGTTCTCCATATACCCAGTGGCCATGGAGCTGGCGGTGGAGTGTTCGTATCCCGTCGGAGAAGCCACGTCAGCCGGACTCGTCTTCGTGTCGGGGTACTACTCTCTGTTTACTCTCAGTGTACAGTGTGTCATTAAAACACATTTCTACACAGATGTTTATGCGTTTCTGCTCAAAACAGAGTTTACGAGTGGTGTCAGCCAGCACACAAAGTAAAATAACAACTATTATAGAAAATGTTAATGAGCTGTTGATTATGGACCATAGCAAAAACCTCGATGGTATTTCTAAAATGCAGTTTCCACACACGCATTGTCTCCTGGACTTCCTCTATGTACCTTATGTGTAATAATTCTTTGTGTATTAATCGTGGCTGTTTGGATGTGATCTTCTCCAGACAGGTCCAGTCTGTGATCTACATCGTCCTCCTTCAGGCTTTAACTAAGCGGCTCGCTGACTCTCCTCTGTCCACCTGTGGGGACGCGGTCCTGAGCTGGAGGGGTGGGTAGCTTGCATACTACAAAATGCCACCAGATGTAGAACATCCTGGTATTTTTGACAGACTGAATATTTTCCTGGCATAATAAATAGTGTGGCAGTACGAGTCTTTTTGATTTGGTCAGACCTGCTGAGCGTGAGCAGTGCTGTCTGTGTGCACTTTACTGACCTGTGGGACATTAAAAGTGCAAAATATTTTTACGGTGCACAAGGAAACGTTGCACATCTGTGCCTCTAAATTCAGGGAGCAGAAAGTGAAAGTCTGCTTGTTGTATTGAAGTTTGTCTCTGTGTTTGTTACACCAGGGTTGCAAATGTTCCGACAAGTTGCCGCAACATGTTTGATTGTTTTAATCTGTTTTTCATTCTTATCCATTCGATACAAAGGTTTAAAAACAAGAACCACATTATGACATGCATAAATCATATTCATTCTTTTATATTTAATGTTTCCCCCATTTTGAAACATTTGACACCAGGCGGCCCTCTCATACAGTCTACTTGTAACTTATTTATAGCAACAATAAGAACAATATATACTGTATATATATTTAAATAAAAGCACGTTCCCACTAATGGAGTTCCTCTGTGTTCCTGTTATGTGACGCTTCCTCATCACGTCCTCCTGGACATTAACGTCTCTATCAGACGACTTATTGGAGATGTTGACCCAAAGTTGTATTTTTATTCTGCACGTCTCTCTCCTCAGTGCCGATGATGGTGATGGCCGGGCTGTGCACCTTCTTCAGCTGCTGCTTCGTGATCTTCTTCCACACACGGTACAGACGACTGGAGGCCGAGGAGCAGGCGGTGTACGGGACCAAACAGAGAAAGGTGTCGACGACCTCCGACAACGCTCCGAGTGTGGAGATACTCTCATGACGAGAGAGACGGAGACAGACAGACAGACAGACAGAGAGACAGGGGGAATTATGGGTGTTATCACACCTGCAGTTTGTTTTCTGTGGTACGAAGTAGAAAAGGAAGTTTTAGTTTTTAATCAAGACACTGGGGCCAAACTCTTTATGTACATTGAGATATAGAAACAGATTCTGCATTAATTCTGTTGCTATTATTGTAAATTATAGAAAGGTGCATCAATACTCAGCAGATTTTATTGAAATATTTTATACTTTCTACACAAAATAGTTTGAGAGGAAATCTGTGGAAACGATTGCTTTGTAGCCACTTTGTTCTGTAAATATTAATATTAAATTAGATGGAAAATAGTTAATATTCATACACTGATCATGTTTATGAGATGTTTTTTTTTTTTTTAAACAAAACCTAGCTTTGATTGTAGAGAAAACGAAGACAGTTTTCTTCCACTGAACAGACGAACTAGAACACAGAGGTGTTGTAGCTGTGAGGCGTTCAGGTGCAGAGAAGAACGGCGGACTGTTTACCGCTGATGTTCTGGATCACCAGACTCCTGAAACAACTCGATGTAGTGTCACATAAAACATGGGCACATTTGTACTAAAACCACTATGAAAGGTACTGTTTACTGACATACTATGAGTACATTCAATACAATGTAGTAACTACATGATAGTCTGCAGGATCTCTGACCAATGACTGCAAACTGAAAGCAGGCTGTTTTAATGAGCACATATAAACCAAAACACAACAGAAGAAAGAACAGCATTTAACTACTTATTGACTTAAATCAGCAGAACATGCTTCTAGTTGAAGGACTGCAGACATTGAGAATCAGGTTAAGGATGTTGAAGCCTTACAGACGGTTGTGGATTTTGTGCAATGAAGAGAATAAATACAGTTCTGATTCCTGTAGTAGATGTTTATCATTGTACTGAATGTTCTGCTAGTGACGACCAACAATAACATTTATTTTCCAAAGAGGTGAATGTCGGGTACTTTGCTGACAGATTTAGGAGACTAGGAGAACTTGAACGTGTCGGACTCAGCTGCAGTGTTTTCAGATCGGATCATCTCAAAGACTCCACACATGTAAAGACCAGAGCACTCGTTCTGTCTCACTTCAGCGTTTCTGATTGCCAAGACGAGTTGCTCCGTTTCCCGTTTTTAATACCTTTAAAATGCTAATAAAACATTACCTCATGGATCCTTTTTCTAGTTTAATTCTTCTCATTGAGAAGACTAGAAGAGAAAAGCAGCAGCATGTTGAGACTGAAGTTACACCGTTGCTTTCTCTAACATTTAACCATTAAAATTAATGCCAGATTCACAGCAATGGCACACCTAACATTAACGGAGACATCGTTGCAGCTGTTACTTTGCCAGATGTAGTTACTAAAAAAACAATAAAAACATCTGCTGTGGAGAACCTCTGAGGCTCACTGCCTCAAACGAACACCATTCACACAAACATTTATTTGAACACTGACATTTAAAGCAAGCCTGTAACTTTGACTGAGAAGGGGGTCCCCCCCTATGTTCTTAGTAACATTATGAGACATATTCCCAGTTTAAGGTTAAAATGTTAAAGTTCAAAATTCTGTTCAGCCGCTGTGGAGATCGACAGTCTTGCCCACAACGTCGAGATCGTAGGTTTGAGAACATCAGCGGGCTGTGAGCTGTAGGTGGATGTTCTTAACATTTGACCTCGAGGAACATTAATCATAACTCGTTAATGTGTCGTATGACGAGGACTTTAAACTGGGGGGCATGGATACACTCCTGCGAGATGATGCATTAATCGACGTATGAGTGACAGAAAATGACGTGACGCAAACAAGCAGGCGGATAAAGACTCTGGAGAGTTTTTAATTATTTCCCAATTCCACGTAAAACAAATATTAAAAAAAGTAGCGCTCTCTCCAGATTCAGAATCGACCTGAAGCTCCTCCTCCTCCTCCTCCTCCTCCTCCTCCTCCTCCCATCATCATCATCATCATCATCATCCTCGTCCCTCCAGCTACGTCTGGACTCACTTTAAAAAAAGACCCATTCATAAGAATACGAGCAGGATGTAAAAATGAAACAGAATTGAAAACCAGAGCAAAACGTAAAACATAAAAAGGGAAACACTACGGCAAATTAATGACCGAGGATTTTTGTCAAACGCTTGTTTGAGTTCCTACTTTGAAAGTCCTCAGTTGTTGTTGAATGGCACAAAGAAAAAACAAACTGAAATGAGGATATTCTTGATGCAAGAGCTGGTAGTTTCTAATGTGTCGGGTTAGCACAGGTACTGTGTGAACACAAGTACACATTTCATCCAATTACATGTGCCAGTGTGTGTGTGTGTGTGTGTCTCAGAGCTGGAGGGCACAGAACTGCTGGTACACGGCCAAGATGTGGTGGTCGAGCTCTGCGGTGAACAGCAGGTTCTCCAGGGTTCCCATGTACTGCTGGATGGTCACATGGTGCTGCGGAACGAGGAGATGCATCAGCGTCATCGAGGGGATACACACATTGCGTTACTGTGTGTGTGTGTGAGAATGTCTTACCATGAGAAAGACCTGCTGCAGCCGCTCGATGCAGTTCTTGTACCAGGGCGTGCTGATGTCCACGCTGCCCGTCTCACAGCGGACCAGGTGCTCTGTCAGCAGCATGATGAACCGCTGAGGGAGGAACAAATACATATAACGGTGGAAATATTCACACGTGGGCTCAGAAACACGACAGCGTTCACTGGATGAGATGAGCTTGGGTGACAGCAGTGGAGGGACATGGGTACCTGGAAGATGACGAGGAAGAGGTTCTTCTGTTCGCTCTGAGCCGACTCCACCTTCTCCTGCAGCCTCTCGATCTGCTCCTCCAGCTGACCCTCCTCGTCCTCGCTGTTCTTGTCACTGTTCTTGTCCATGTCCTCGTCGTCCCCGCTGTCCCGCTGCTGCTCCACACACACACACACACACACACACACACACACACACACACACACACACACCTCCTACTTTAACCGACGTTAGCCAACTTTAAATCGCTCATGAAGTGGCCGACGTGACCACGACAGACAACGCGATGATGGATGAAGTTACCTTCTTATTGTGCTGTTTCTCCAGTTTGTCCTTGGCCTCCTCCAACTCCTGCTGGATCTTCTGGACATGTTTGTTCATCTTTCGGATGGTCGAGTGCAGAATCTCCCAAACAAAAAGTCTAGACGAGGAGAAGAGAGTTTGTATTTTAGAGGCAGGCAGAGAGAAAACACAGCGTCGGCGTTAATGTCCTGGCTGAGTGGAGGAGATGTTCAGGATGAAACCTTCATTCTCTCCTCGTGTTCACGCCTCACCTGGTGAACTCGTGAGCCATATCCTGAGAGAAGAGCCAGTTGGCCACAGCAGCACAGTCCACGATCTGCGTCCGGATCATTTTGTCCACCAACACCGCGATCATCTGTGAGGCAGCAAAGACACGCGTTACGTTTACCAAACTGTTTGTATCCACATAGCGACTTCCTGTCACTGTGTTAGTTCTGTGTCTGTACCTGCGGGTGATTCCTCCACACTTCATAAACCACCTTGAGGATGTGCAGCTTCCCCTCGTCGCGCTCCGTCAGCACCTTCAAGATCTCGTGGAACCTGGAGGAGTCAGAGGACGGTGAGGAGAGCAGAACAGAACGCGACTCATTCAGTACAAAACCCGGTGATCCTCACAGTTAGTACAACTAAAAATGACCCAGGTCCATTTTAGGAACTTAGCAGTTGAGTACACAGAAAGAAGTTATCTCTCCGAACAAATGTGAAAACTACTAAAACAAGAAAAAGTCATGAAGACACAGTACACGTGGACCGTGTACACGGCGGTGAACTTACTTGCCGAGGGCGCTGAAGGAGTGGCTGAAGGATTTGGCTGCCAGGTGGAGTAGAGTCTGCAGGAACACGTCGATCTTCAGAGGGTTGAAGCTCTCGCCCTCATCTGAAAGGAGACAGAGTTTTATTCTCTCAAAGAAACACACAAAAATACATACAGTTATGAAATAGAAAATAGGAAACTGACCGTCATCATCTTCTTGGTTGGGGTTGGGCACTTCTTTGAGGATGGTCAGGATCTCCTCGTTGGACGCTCGGCTCTTTATGGCGTTTCCAACAGTGATGGATGCTGGGTAACCGGGTAACGAAGCTGTGAGGCAGGAGAGACATTTGATCAGCTCTTCATGCTCGTTACAGAGAGACCCGTGGAACCGTTCGAGGCTTACAGAGGGAACAAACTAACATCCTAAATGGTGCTCGTGACATGAAAACTCTGGCATTCAAAGAATGCGAAAGTGTTCTTACAGGCGCTCTCCTCTTCGTATTTGTAAGTAAAGATGGGTTCAGCTGGGATGAGCGCTGAGAAGGTTGCAGGGACGATGTCCACTATCCGCTGGTGGTATGAAAGTCTGCAGAGACACGAAGCGAACAGACCACTTTAGATCAACGAGACGCTTTCCGGATTAAAAGGATCGAAGGGAAACGTGTTCACAGACAAATGATGGAAAAACACGAGTGATACAGAAAACACTTCCAAATGGACTTCAACCTGATGAGAGGAGGAAGAGCGATATTTAAGGACATAAACATGTGAATAACGCGCTCATACCTCATACTCTTCTCCAGAACCTCTTTGACAAACTTGGGCTTGGGCTTCTCTAGATCCACAGTCAAGCAGTCAGACCTTTATAGAGCACACGTGATCATATCAATATCAATAACCAGCTGCTATGAAAGCTCTCTCTGTGCACCACAGCACCACTCACCAGTCATCCCAGCTCCACCGGAACTGGAAGTTGCTCAAATGATGAGAAAACCAGTTGATTAGTCTGGAGATGAAGAAAGAGAAACAGAGAGAGAGTTAAATCACAGACGGCTCTCCTCCAGTAACAGTTCCTCTCTCTACCAGTGAAGGTAAATGTGCTGTTTGGTTACCGGTCTATGCAGCTGGTGTTCATGGTCTCCAGTCTCATGTAGAGCATCTCTGTGGCTTGGGCCAACTAACAGGCAGTTAAAGAAATGCCTCTTTGATTAACACTCTTAAACATGTCATTATGTAGAAACAAGTAGGAAACACATTTGGCTCAATGATAATATCATGTTTAACCCTCCGACTGAGTATTCACACATATTGATACATAAATACTAAACTAAATAATACTAAACTCAGACACCAAACAAAGAAAGTCAGGCTCTGCAGAGCTGCGACTCTACTGAGGTTGTAAACCATCTTGAACACAAAGACTCAAGGATACAACTTGTGGCAGTGATCCCGGCTGCAGTTTGCACAGCTCAATGAGCAGCGTGGTGTACATGACGTCGATGTGGGGCGGAGTCGGCAGTTGGAGGAGTTCTCCAAAGATCACCTGAAAGAAAACAGATAAATATTATAAAATCAGCCATTTCATCTTATTTCTCAGCATGTAGTTTGAACAAAACTAAGTGCGTACCTCCACGATGTGATAGTTGAGCGGGATCTTATTTTTCCCCGGATAGCTTAGTAACTGGGCAGCACTGAAAAGTAAAAAGTAGAATTCAGAAATGTTGAAACATTTGACTCGACAGACGACGATGAAGCTCGTTACCCACCAGCTTTTCCTCTCTTTCCAGTGAGTGTTGATGATACAGTGCAGGTTTTCTTCGATGACAAATCTCTCCACTGAATGGCTGCCGGGCATAACGGGACCCTGAGCAGAAAGAGCACAAATGTTTATAGTATATCAGATGATACGTTATTCACACAGGGGGGGGTAATCAGTGACATTTTGTTTTTTCAAAGCCGGGCTGTGGTGTACCTCGGGGGCGTCGGTGTAGTCAAACATGCGGAAGACGACCCGGGGCATGGGGTACTGGGCGCCGGGCATGTGGCCCGGCGGGGTGAAGGGGGGCAGGTTGTGCTGCAGCGCCTCACACAGCACGCTGTCGAAGGCGATGTACGGCCGGAGGACGTGGCGCTCCTGCCAGCGGTCCTTCTTTAGCTTCTGGATCTGGGCCCAAAGGCAGTCCAGGTACTGCAGGAGGGACACGGAGACAAATGTTTAACTAAGTGTCCTAAGAGACGGACACACACACACACACACTGCAAGCAAAGACCAGAAGACAACGACCACGATGTTTATTATTATTAATAAGAGTATAATAATTAAGGGGAGAATTCTCTCACCTCCTCTTGTAGGTGGGGCTTCTCTGCTGTCCACACCTGCAGCATGGGGAGGTGGGTCTTTACTCGCCCCCTAGAAATGACACAGGAGTGTGACGTTCAGAAACAGCTCACCGACATGACAAATGAAAAAGGGTGAATAAGAGACGAGAGCCGAGACGTCTTACTTGAGGTAGCCTTCGATCTGGCTGAGCAGCCGGTCCATCTCGACGTCCTTCTTCTCGTAGAGCTCCTTACCGACCCACGGCAGACAGGACAGCACCACGTACACGAACCAGTCGGACCGGACCTGAGGACGCAAACATGACCGCTTACAAAATCACACATGCTTAATAAGTATGTGTTGAGAATGTTCATCCATATTTAAAGTTCATGAATTCCTTGATTACTGAAGTGTAGTTCTCTCCAGCTCGCCCACATACCTGAGGAACATCTTCCTCTTGAGTAACACTGACAAAGTTTTCAAACATGGCCACCATTGAAGGTGCAGCAATCACATGGCAGTTGACCAAGTCGGACAGAAAACGCACCTACGAAAAGAAGACACGGTGTTAAAAAAACAAATAAGAAGTGAGAATCAGTTCAGGTGCTTCTTAAACAGTCAGTGTTACCAAGTAAACAGCTTCATTGTACAAGTTGTTCTTCAGCGTCTCCTTCAGTTGTCTGATCATCGCTTCCACAAACTCGCCCCCAAAGTTGTAGTTCCGGGCGTTCAGGAGTCCCACTAACGTTGTGTACACGGTCAGCTTCTCGGGCAGGATGCGGGCGCTGTCAACAGAAGACAACTCAGTGAAAACAACTCAGTGAAAACACAGATTCTTTCAACAGTGAGACGGGGAGCAGTGCTGTGAACTTACACAGAACATAAAATGCGCAGGATTTTGTTTTTGTAGTTTGGAAGGTCGGCCTCCAACACGCCCGCCAGGCCCTCCAAGTTGCTCTCCAGGGACGATGTACTCTGAAGAGAACACATGAAGCAGTTTACTTTGTTTTAGATGGATTATAGTTTATTGAATAGCAGCAAACACCATCAAAACAGTTGGTGTCAGGCTCAGTAGATTGAAACATAACTACATTGCCAGAGTTGACTCTTTACCTTCTCCCCCACTCGACATATCAGTGACTCCAGGCGGTCTTCAATTTCAATGGGCTCCGACGTTCTCCTCCGTTTATGTGGCTGACTTCCTGTACGGGTTAAAAAAAACAAAATAATCACAGTGAGTGGAATGAGAAACATTAGCCGAGAGAGTAACTCAGGGCATCCTCGACGGGGATATCCACCCTAAAACAGAAGTAACACATGATGTGTACTATGATATACAGATGTTTGAAACGGGCTCTCCTTTTGGCAATTCAAGGGATTTCCCATCATGTAAGAGTCATTAACCGTCAATAAGTACACTTTTAATCAACCCTATGTCCGAGGATCGACACGTTGTATAAACGTTGTATAAAAACTGCTCTCGTGTACTTGTATCATTCACACTGCTTGGTTGCCGCCCCCACGTTAACCACACTGTTTAACATCAGCTAGCGGTAAAACGCGCAGCGGTAAACGCGCATGCGAAACCAAATATCAACGGATATTAAGCGTTTACCACATTTTAGATAACGATAACAAGACTATAACCTCGTAGCCTCGTCAATTAATCTATCAGCATTAGCGTGAGTGCACCAAGCGTTTAGATAAACGCTACCAAAAAACACGCTAACGTTAGCTAGCCACCACTGGTTAGCCTAACGTCTGAATTAGCTACTTATACACATGTAACGTCCACTAACCCTCATTGTCGCTGTCGCTGTGTCGTCTTCTGGACATTTTTCTCCCGCTCCGCTTCACTATAGACGAGGAAAATTATATGAAACAAAACAATACGTCGGCTAGACGAGCTTCTAGATCATTCAGCGTTGGCCGCTGCTAGTTGTGCCGAAAAATAATAGCGGTCGCATTCAAGTGAGGCGCAACCGGAAGGTGCACCGTTCTTTTCCGTCCGATGTTTACTGCTTGGTTTTTGTGCTGCACGTTTGGTGATAGTTTGATGTGTATAATGAGGATATTGTCATGTTTATGACTTAATATGTAATATTTGTCAAGATTAGGTAAATATTGAATATGTTAGTGATGCATCACCTCTACAAGTTAATGCTGCAAAGCGGAAGTAGCTTCTCACAACTAAAGCTAGCTAACTAATTTGACAGTATTATTTTTTTATATTTTTAAAAACATGGCTGCAGATGATGCACCTTGCTCAGAGTTCATGGATTGGGAACTTGACACTTCGACATGTAACGTTAATGGACTTAAACAGGAGAAACAACTGTCTGCCTCTCAAAGAAGGTGCTACAGCTTCTGCAGGAGGAAGGTGAGTGACAACAGCTAAACATACAACATCTCGCTGATGTTTTATGTTTTTACTTTTACTTTTTTTAACCACATGTAACTTTACCACATTGCAATATTAATGAACTCCTAGTTTACGATTGGGCTATATTACAAACCATAATGGCCTGTAGTTTATAGCTAAGCTCAATGGTTCCCATTTTGGGAGTCAGGAATCTAAGCGGTTGTAAGGTGATTACTGGAATAATTAATAACAAAAATAAATTTTTCTACTCAAAATTATGTTTTCAGATGTTTCCCAAATCTTTGATATTTTTCCCCTGTGATTACTATATATAATGTTATGTTATTAATTCTACCAAAATGATTTAAAGTAAACAATCTGGGACGTTTATTCCCCCTTTTTTCCCATCTCCACAGTCATTTGCTGCGTTTGTGGCGTCCAAGAGGGACGACAGTCAGGAGGAAGGAAGCCCATGTTGGTGCTGCTGTGGCCAGACCTTCAAGGAACACTCTTCCATCCACAAACACACGGCCAGGACTCATGATGCTGAAATACGGCAGCTCACACAGGCCGCATATGAGCATTTGTTAAGCCAGCTGGAGGAAGAAGCTGAGACGCAGCAGCCGGACGAGCGTGAGGCTGAGCCGGTGGACTTCTCTGCCTGGATTCCTGAAACTGGTCACATCTCTGAGGAGCAACTTCAGAAGTACTAGTCTAATGTTGATGCTCCCGTCATGCTATCCATGTCCTTGTGTTGTTTTAAAGTGAAACTCCATCTTAAAATCATATAAATCTGCATTTTTAAATGAATACTGATGTCTCTCAATATAATTCTTCTCTTCAGGGGTCCAGGCAAGGTTCTCCTCTATTATCGCTACTGTCTGGTGGAGGATCCACATCTCATCCAGACTTGGCAGAAAGCTTTGTGTGAGAAGCTCCACTTAACTGGCAAGGTGAATACATTCTCTTATCCTGCATCCAAAGGGGAGACTGCAGGAAAGATTTAATTAAATGTAACTAAATTTAACTCAAACTATTTGACGATCATGTCCTCCAGGTGAGGCTGGCGACTGAAGGCATCAATGGAACAGTTGGAGGAACCAACACGGCCACTGACCTTTACATCGACGCGATGCATTCACACCCGCTCTTCAGGATGGAGGAGGAGGATTTTAAGGTCAGAAAATAAAATAAAAAACCTGATGTTGGATGATTCATTCATTCACCCAGTGTAGTTAAATAATGCACGTGAACATAGTCAGTGTATAGCTGGAAATGGTTATGTTTATTTTTTATATTTTTATAATTTCACTTGAAACTGTTCATTTTGCACTTAACTTCTTAATTAAATGAGAAAATACGTATTTAATTCACACAGGATTATACAGTAATATGCTTTACCATGTGGTTGTTTTATATAGACTATTTATTTCACAGCTATATCATGATTTGGCCATACCGCTCCTCCATAAGAATATACCAATATGCCTTTTATTTATTATATATATATATTACGTGCGTGCGTGTGTGTGTGTTCTCAGACAAGTGACGGCGGCGCAGAGTGTTTCAAAGACATGAAGGTTGGGGTCTATAAGGAAATCGTCCCGATGGGAATGGATCCTGATGTTATTTCCTACCAGCTGGCAGGTAAAGTTTGTGTAGTAGAAAAAAAAATCTTTTCACTATTACCAATGACACTAATGCCTATAAGTCTGTTTTAGTATTCTTTCTATATGTACAGTGGTATAATTGTACTGGTGTTTTTATGTTGTTACTTTCTGTAAGAGGTTTGTTAACAGCTGATTTTGTGTTCATCATGTGAGTTATGTGTCGGTGTCTCCTCTCAGGAGTTCATTTGGAGCCGGAGGAGTTTCATGAAGAAGTGCAGGCTCTGTTGGCTGAAGGGGATTCGTGCAGTGACACCATCCTCCTGGACTGCCGCAATTTTTACGAGAGTAAAATTGTAAGTAATCTTATCAGTTTTCTCCAAAAACTTTGACAGGTTCTAGAGGCTATGTAAGTCGTCAAAATCAGATTTTGTTTAATTTGTTTAAACTATTTGTGCTTTATCTTTACCGCCTACGTAGACATTTTTGGTTGACTGTTCATATAAATGCTGATTTCCTACGAGATTCAGAGTTAACTTTGACATCCCAATAAGAATGGGAGGAAAAAGTTACCATAATCTAACGGGACAAAAGCCGGGTTGTAATGTTATATTCTGAACCGTGATTATTTCATTACTCCAGGGGCAGTTCACTCAGTGTCTGGCCCCGAGCATCCGTAAGTTCAGCTACTTCCCGGACTACGTGGACCAGAACCTGGACCTGTTCAGAGACAAGAAGGTCTTGATGTACTGCACCGGAGGGATCCGCTGTGAGCGCGGCTCGGCGTACCTCCGCTCCAAAGTAAGACCGCTTGTTCTGGATGTGAACTACAGGAATACCACGTGGACTCTTTGTTCTAAATGGGAAGCAGCTTATTGGACGGGCTTGTCATGCAGCAACTCAACTGTAGTTGAAATGCTTAGTATTTGTAATCTACATTGGGATTATTATTTCTTTACTTGTAGGATGTGTGTAAAGAGGTTTACCAGCTGAAGGGTGGAATCCACAAGTATCTGGAGCGATTCCCAGACGGTTTCTATCGAGGGAAACTTTTTGTATTTGATGAACGCTACTCCATCTCCTCCAACAACGACGTCATCTCCGGTTAGTTTGTGCACAAAGGCCCTCATCAGCATGTAGAATAATATAAAGAAAATATTGAATAAACATGAGCATTTCGTTGTTGCCTGATGTCTTTGTGTTAAAAGTTATGTCAGACTTTCATACCTCAGTGTCTCTGTTCAGACTGCCGGTACTGCGGCTGTCCCTGGGACCAGTACCAACTCTGCTGCACCGCGTTCTGCTGCCAGCTGGTTCTGTCGTGTCCCGCCTGCAGACGGGACGGACGCACCGCCTGCTGCCCCACCTGTCAAACCAAAGGACAGGCTCCGCTCCACAGAGAGGAGTGCGAGTGCACCGACGGACGTCCCAGAATCCCTCAGGATGTGTAGCGACAGAGACGTTACGATTGGACATCAATGCTGTTTGTCCAAGGAAAGTTAATCCCAATGTAAAACTAGAATTAATGGACGGTGCCCAGTGTATTTTAAAAGTTATGAATTTTTATATGGACGTTGGGATTTAAGTCAGATTTACTGTTTCTAAAGAGTTTTATTCTGAGTCTGATATTAGATGATAAAACCTTTTATTCATCTTTAATTGAGGGAAATGTCAGAATGCATCTGCACTCTGAGTTTAATGACGTGATTTTTTAAAAACTGGAATGCCTCATCAGTAATGAAAAGCTCCGTTCCAGGAGATATGAACTTATAAGTGTTTGTGTGCTTGTTTGTGTAAAAATGGGATTTTATCTTATGATGTTATTATGTTAATTACATGCTTAATTATTCGCAAGAAATGTTCATGGTTTCTAGGACTCTCCTCGACCAAAGATATTCTTAGTCCACTTACACTCATACCATCTTGACGACTAATTAATTAGTTGATTTAATTGACAGATCTGTAAAACTGAGTTTCTCTACAAAGAATCTCACAAAAGCACCAGTTTAAATATTGTGTTCACAAGAGATGTGCTCACAAGTTTCTTGAAAACAGAAATCATTCAGAAGAAATCTTAGTCGACTTAGACCAAGACGACCGATTAGTCGATTAACCAACTAAGAGGGGGCAGCCCGAATGGTTTCACAGACATTTTTAAATAAGTAAGCAATCAAACTATCGTGCCAACGTATCAAAAACACTTCCTTACATAAGTCTCTTGTGCTCTCTAAACCACACAGTCTCGGGTCAAAGTAGATTACTGAGACTGCAGGTGTCTTTGAAACCACAAGCAGCAAACACATCTGTGTGCCTTACTCAGGATGACACATTTCACCTGTGTGTGTAGTAGTACAAACCAGTGTCAGCATGAAACCATGCAAAGACAGACCAGTACTGTTAGGCTAAGAGTTACATTTTAATATTCAAATTTTCTAGAGAGGGAAATTCACATATAACAGAAATGTAGAAAAAGGTCCAGAGGTAGGAAAGATACAAATACCTGTTTATAATTAAATACATAAAACAAATAAGACATAAAAGATTTGTTCTTGTATACAATGTATATTTTACAATACATAAGGCTATATATATGTGCATTGTGCAAATTACAAATAAATTAGATTCAATAGATTTATCAATAACAAATTTTTATTTTATTAATATTTAAATATCAAAATAATATATATAAATATAAATAATGATATTAGTTATATAATATAAATAAAATAAAATAATTTAAAAATATTTCATTCTGAAATAATACAATTGATAAATAGATATATATTATACGCAGTTGCACAGGACGTCCACCAGAGGGAGTGATGGGACCACGGACCATAGAGTCCGCTAAAGATCCTCCACATCCCGACTGGAAGCTTCAGCTCTCAGCCGAGCGGAGCTGGCCAGAGTCTGCCCGGGTCTTCACCGACCAGCAGCAACCTCTTTCTGCCGCATCATTCCAGGGGGAGGGCGGGTGTGTGTGTGTGTGTTTGAAGAAGCCAGGCTTTTGGGACACCCGTGTATCTGTGGGTATAAAGGAGGACGGGAGGACCGAGCGATGTCTTCTTCTGCGCCGGGTTTCACAAACCTGCACAGCTCCGTCAGCTACAGCCAGAACTCATCGACACCGAACGGAGGAGATGCGCGCGCATACCAGAATGGTACCGCAGGCCGGTTTGAAGGCGATTAGCCAGCTAGCTTAGCGTTTGCATGCTAATAACCCTCTTGGGATGTCAGATAGTTTTGTCTGGCGCTGCTGCTGTTATTATTTTTATTTTTTTGGTACAACTGTTCTCTGGTATTAATCAGATTAATCACATTAAGTGTAAGATCAAGATGACGTGTAAAGTCGGCTGAAACTGAGGCTTTCGCCTAATGTTAACGTTAGCTAGTTTAAGAGCTAACCTGAAACCCCCATAGAGACAGCTAGCGTTTTAGCTTGTGAAGCTAACGTACAACGATAGCAATTATAAGTGTTGTATCTATACATATATCATTATTTACGCTTTATATTGTGGCTCTGATGAACAACCAGTCGATTAAAAGCACACTGATATCATTTTTTTTATTGATGGTTGCTGTCAGGGATAACCGGGTATTAACCCTCTGTGCACTGGAGTAACAGCTGCTAATGAAGCTAGCTGTTTGCAGCTAATGATAACCTCTGTTCAGTACTTGTATGTGTGAGCTTTGGTGGAAGGAGAATATACTACGGTGCATGTTGTATATGTACACTAAAGTAAGTGTACATGACAACCCTCTCCCTCTCTTCAGGTCCAGCACAGACATACCAATCCATGCATCCACCTACAGGCTGCTATGGAGCCCCACCTCAACAACAGAACTACCCCAGTCCTGTTCCCAACAAAGCACCCATCACGAACAGTGCCCACAGTGCTAACTACTACCGGAGCAACCACCATCAGCAGCAGCAGCAGCATCCGCAGCAGCAGCACCACCTCTCTCAGCATCATGTAGCAGCCTCCCCATACAGTGCTTCTCCAAGCTCTGCTCCTCCTTCTCAGCCATATGCCACCCTCCCCTCTTCAGCACCACCTCCAACAACTGCCCACTACAACCAACAGCCAGTGCAACAGCATCCACCACCGTATGCCCCTCCAGGATCCTACTATGGACCGCAGTCATACCACGCTCCCCCAGCACAGCAATCTCACCACCACCACCAGCAGCAGCAGCAGCCCGGTTTGGTGCCTGCACCAGCTGTCGGCCACGGAGCTCCCGTCTACCCAATCGTTTCGTACCCGTCTGCGCCAGGAAGTAGCCAGTTTGGCACCCTGAGTTCCTCCCAGAGCACCTCCGCGCATGGAGTCATGCCCACCCAGATGGGTGCACCCCTACATCAGTACAGCACCACCCGGCCAGCCTCCACAGCAGCAGTGCAGCCTGGGTACAGCGTGACTCCTCCCAGTCAGCTGACGCCGACGGTCAATGGTCAAGGAAGCACAGGTGTGTGTGTGTGGCTGGAAAGAGAAGAGTTTAAGGCACTTTGTGCATTTGGTGTTGCAGAAGCATGCTAGCTGTATAATGGTGTCAGTCGAATAATCTGCTGCCAACACTTGGATGATTTGGGAATTAGCATTTTCATGTTTATTTCCAGGTGTATGTGTCGCTTAATATAGCTTTTTAAATTAGCTACAGAACTAAAGTGTCTTGGTCTTATATGTTTTCTCACTTAAATAGAGGAGGCCTGGTAGCACTTTAACTGCTGTTTGTAGTTCTTTATTCGGGAGTTAGCGCTTTGTTTACGCAGACCGCCATTCTCCTGTTTGAAATGTTTCATCTTTGTGTGCATCTTTCGTTGAACCACAGGCCACCAACACTATGACCAAAGCCACCCGGCTGCTCTGAGCTACGACTCCTACGGTGGGGTTATTCACAGCGGTGGTGCCGCAGACCGGCCGGCCTCAGGAACGCCCTCCACTTCAGTCCATTCCTCGCCGGGCCACCACCAAGGTAACGAGCATTTACATTTAACTTTTGTTATTGACTCAACGGCAGCAATATTTAGACCCAAGGAAAGTTTCCTCTTGTATGTATGTATGTATTCTTAGTGTACTTTATGTACATATGTTTCTGTATGAACAAAGTTTGAAAGAATACTTTAAATAAGATTTAAGTCTTTTATAAGATCTGTTGAAATTTTGGCGCCAAAAATGTTTCTAGTTGAGCTCAACGTGAAACTGTTTCCTGTTGTTAGTTTCACTGCTTGCAGAAGAAACTCCTCACCAGTGCTTTAGATTCAGAAGGTGTTCTTCTCGTTGGTATTTTTGGTTGAAATTTGCGTCGAAGTGAAAACTTCCAAAATGTTTCTAACCTGCTTTACTTTGGTGTTTGAACTAAAAGTTATTGGAGGAAAAATGACAGCTCTCGGTTTTGCTGCGCTCTGGATTTTGTCTTTTCTGGTGCGAACTCTTCCACGAGCCTTTAAATATAAATGTTTGAAATCCTGCACAGTGCAAGTGTGAGTGTGTAAATGGTTTACATATTCAAAGCTGTGGGTGCTGCAGATTACGTGCGGCACATTTCCAGGCACACACACACACACTTTAAAATGTGCAGGTGCGAGTGTTTATACAAATGTGAGGGTTTCAGGTTGGAACTCAGCAGCTGCTGGTTTATTTTTTGTCACTCAGACCTTTTTCAAGCATGTTAAGACCAAAGGACTCCTGCAGCAGCTGCACCTGCATTTAATCATAATTTGGGTTGCAAAGACCTATTGTCTTTGAAGCTTTGCATAGTCTCACCAAGAGGTGTTTAAGGCCCAACATTACTCCAGAATGTTCTCCCTCTCTGTATGCCTGAATCAGTTTACTCTGTGCCAGCTGTATTTCCCTCTGACAACAAGTTATACAAGAGCAAGACAAAGGCCACACCTCTCTTATAGGCGCGTGTTAAAACACGTTTTGTTGTTACTAGTATTTCAAGGGCTTAGTAATGCTAAATCAAGTGTTGTAGTTTGTTTTGTTAAAGTCCCACATCTGCAATCATCAGTTTGACACACCGAGAGATAATCAATGCCTGCTTCACACATAATTCTGTGTACGAGCCTCTCGTCCATGCGTGGATGCACACTTGTGTTTACATGTGTTTCATTTTGGCGTGAACTGTCCCTTAAAGTCAGTTTGTATGACAAAACGGGGAAACCACCAGCTACTTTAATCAGTCAACGGATGAAGTTAGTTTGTTCACTTCAACACACA